GTTTCTTTTTCTCGCGGTAGTTAGCGGAAAGCAGTGACTGGGTGATTGACAGCTAATATTAACCAATCTAAAATCTGCATTAAAGTTAAGAATGTAAAGACGAAGTTTAATTGGTTATGTAGCCTAACGTTTCATAGAACGGCAGACAGGTCACCGTATCAGGACTCAGAAGGCACATACTCTGAATGTTTTTAGAGAAATTAAAACGGGTCGCACAACAACAATTATATGCACTCGCACAAATGCTCCCAAATATATTTTGAGGTCGCACAGATTAAATTTCGGGAGCATATGCGACCAAAATCGCGATTAATTGCACACTTCATGAAATTAAGCATAGACCATTTATCTTGTTTCAAATGGTTATTTTGTCATCATTTGCTATATTCAGCAAAGTAAACCAAAAGATTGAAGGATGATTTTCAAAAATCTGTATTTTCTGCAAGCTTTTCTCAGGATAAATGTAGATGTCTTTCCAAAAAAGGACTCCAAAAGGATATATATATTTATCTGAATTGTATAGTATATGTACAGTGCAACAGCAAATAGCTTTTTTTTGACATTTTAGAGAAGTCAAGTTTCGTAACCGAACAGGACCACATGGCGATGCCAAAAAATCCCTAAACCAATCGCCTGCTGACTGCATACAGTATATCTACTACAGTACACGGATCCATTCTGTATAACTAAACACAGCAACATAAACTTGACAAATCAAAACATTATCGTGAATGTGTGTGGAAACAACGTGAATGTACGGAAATGTCTGTGCCTGTGCTGTGCATAAATACAATGTTATGAGAACATTATATTTCACACACTTTAAGCTCTTTTATTTTCAAAATGTAATAGGATTAGTCCAACGAATCGTTTGGTTTGTAATGCGTACCGAACCGAACGCCTTGTATCGAACGGTTCAATATGAATACGTGTATCGTTAGACCCCTAATATATGTGTGTGTGTGTGTGTGTATGTGTATATATATGTATATATATAGAATTTAGGTAAAGGGGTGCAGAGCCAGTGGTGGTTTTGTAGACAAACATGCCTTGAATTTTATGCGAGCAACTATTGGTAGCCAGTGCAAATTGATAAACAGAGGTGTGATGTGCATTCTTTTTGGCTCATTAAAAATGAATCTTGCTGCCGATATAGATATATATATATATATGTGTGTGTGTATATATATATGTGTGTGTGTGTGTGTGTGTGTGTATTTTTCTATTTCTTTTATTTAAAAAAATGTCATTAGATAAACTGTTCTCTGCCAATCCATCAGTGTCCTACAGGCTGCTATTGACTCATGCTCTAAGCCATTAATAATTACTGCATTTTCTCCTCTGCTACAAATTTAATGTGGATGCAGTCTTCTGCCAGCATGGTTTTTCGGCCCTCCAGACATTCATTTAGAGGTGTTCGTTCTCCTGCCTCTATCTGGCTAGCACCCTGAGACACTGAACTCTCCAGTTGAGAGATTTTTTTTTAAGCTCCGAGGGTACACACAGTCTTGTTCATTTTGCTTAACTTGAGAGCTCAGCTGTGGAGTTTACTTGAGGTGAATACCATATAGTTATTTGTAAAAAGAGTAAAACCAATATCAAGGCGTAAAATGAAACTTGAAAAAATATTAACTTTATATCTGACTATTGTTCCTGGTGAACTACTACACTGCTGTTTTTGTAAATGTGTTTTGTGTACATATTTGTATAATTGTATATTAATTAAACTCAAATAAATTTTTCATATACATTTGTTCTACTTCTTTTTGTTATGTAACTGTTAATTAAGATAATGCAGTCGACTGTTCACTATCGCAAAATAAACAGATAAAATCATGTTTTCGGCCCTCCAGACATTCATTTAGAGGTGTTCGTTCTCCTGCCTCTATCTGGCTAGCACCCTGAGACACTGAACTCTCCAGTTGAGAGATTTTTTTTTAAGCTCCGAGGGTACACACAGTCTTGTTCATTTTGCTTAACTTGAGAGCTCAGCTGTGGAGTTTACTTGAGGTGAATACCATATAGTTATTTGTAAAAAGAGTAAAACCAATATCAAGGCGTAAAATGAAACTTGAAAAAATATTAACTTTATATCTGACTATTGTTCCTGGTGAACTACTACACTGCTGTTTTTGTAAATGTGTTTTGTGTACATATTTGTATAATTGTATATTAATTAAACTCAAATAAATTTTTCATATACATTTGTTCTACTTATTTTTGTTATGTAACTGTTAATTAAGATAATGCAGTCGACTGTTCACTATCGCAAAATAAACAGATAAAATCATGTTTTTTTTTCCAGCCTGAAATCGTCTTCTCGTACATATTTTATATAGGATAAAGTAAATGAGATTTTTACAGCTACAGTTGATGACCAGTTTCTTGTCATATGAATATAGGCGAAACCAGTCTTGATTATTTAAAGAAATAATTCATTCAAAAATGGAAATTGTCTTTCTTTACTCAACCTCATGTCGTTCCAAACCTGTATGATTTTCTATCTTTATTCTGTGGAACATAAGAGGAGATATAGAGAAATGTCAAAATAACATATTTTCTGTTCTGCAGAAGAATGACATGAGGGTGAGTAAATTATGACATTTTTTTTTTTTTTTTACTATTTAAGCGTTTAAAGGTGTTAATCAAGTATTTAAGTGTTAATCCAGAGATTGGAGCATTTCTAGTTAGAAGCAGTATAGACGGCAAAAACTGTTATTTATTAAATATTTATTTGTAAAATCTGTCACTACTTCTGTGGCTTGCACAATGTATTCTTAAAGGGTATTTGTTGTTACACATTGTGTAAAAATACACAATGAATTTTTTCTAAGCTTGATTGTGTTTATGGGGTGCAGTCTAACATGTTAATGCTTCGTTTAAAAAAAAAAAAAAAACACATTATTTTTCACATAATTTACCTTTATTCCACACAGCTCTGTCCCTTCTCTGAGAAACGGGCTGATCTTTTCCTGTTTTTATGAAGCCCTGCCCTCAGAAATAGGCAATGGATTCTGATTGGTTAGCTAGCCCAGTGTGTTGTGATTAGCTAAACCGCCTCTAGTGCGCCTCTAATCGTCCCGCCCCTCACCTTGGCGGCATGTGCTCCGGTTGTATTGTAAACAACGGCATCGTTAATATCGCTTATCAGTTTGAGCCCGATTGAGAAGCAGAGGATATTATTGAAGAGGATTGTGTAGAACCTGTGCAAGCACGGCTTTTAATGGTAGACCTATGTTTTTTGTTTGTTGAGGTCTCATACTTTTAGATACGCTGTTGTAAATGGTGCCGCTTATGTTAGCTTTTAATATATGGTTTTATCCTGATTAAAGCTTTAATACAGTACAGCAACCGCATGCGCATCCATGTTTAATGCTTCTCAAAGCTATGTGAAAATAAGTGTATAATTGGAATAGTTAATTTTTGGAGCTGAATGAGAGAGAGAGAGATGCAGAGCGTGTGCAGAGCAGTGGGACGCGAGGAACAGTATTGAGAACCGCTGCTTTAGAACATTGATTTTGAAACTTGTGAATCCATTAGAATCGTTAGAAGACAGAATCGCGATTCATATATGAACAGATTTTTACGTGCACCTCTAGTTTTCTCTTCCTCTTCTCTAAAGCAGCGCAGCATGGCATCGCCCCCTTTGCTGCCTTTTCCCGAGGGTGGGGATTATCTGGGTTTGTGATGTCACGAACCCGGGAAGTAACTCGTTGTAGTCCCTACCAGCTGTTTTTGTAGGCATTAAACTGACAGAATTTTAAAAGACGATAGCTCCGTTTGCTTTGAACTTTCAGCTTCGTAACTTTGCAGATATTGTTTATGCTCAAACAGCAACATTACGCACTAACTAACGTTAAAAAAGTGACCTTTAACACCTTTTACAGCAGTGCTGGGTAGGATCAGTCACTCAAGGTAGTATACTCGATTTTCACTAACAAATGGCAACTGCTATATCATTCCCACTGTCCCCCATGCATTTGGTAGTCAGCAGGTGAATAAGTTGTCTTTATTTCATAAGCAGTGATAGATGAGCCTTTTTGATGGTGGATGAAGTCTGGTATTGATGGTCTGACTGGATGCTTACCAAACCCAAGAACATCCTTGAAGAAAGTGCTTAGCTAGTGATACAACTCCCAATGCGGGTTTGAGTACAGTAAAACGATCGTGTTTTTCAATAGGTACAAGATAGGAAAACTGATGCAACTGACTGGAAACTTGCAACATGCACTCCCTGAGCGTATATAAACTTTGCAATCAGCTCACTTTGGTTTTAACCTCAGTGTGAACATAAAGTGATATAATAATTCCATGTGGTTGATCGTCCAGAGAAATCACTACAGGTGCTTACAAAGGTTATTCATAATTATTTTTAATGTAAATGAATATGCAGCTAAATAATGTGGTTGTTCATTTGCTTTTCTCAGCAGATATGTTTTTTCTATCTGTTTGTTTCTAAATCAACTTTTCTAGTGTAATGGGTTATTTTTAAGAAGAGAGAGCCCTGCTCCAGGCCTTTATCGCATAAACATGATAATCTCTCACTGTATGACAATGCTTTGTAGAAACAGTATTATCATTTGTAAATAGTCGTGGAAAAGTAGGCTAATCCTAAATGTTTTTTGTGCTGTTTGACGGTGATTTTACTGGCAACACTCCAGAAATGTCTTCACATAAAAAATGTTGAACCAGTTATGCGTGTTGTATGGTCACCAGCCTTTATGTCAGCCTTTCAATCTTTCTTTTCTTGTCTGTTATACCAACATTCATTTTTTTAATAACCTCTGCCATACTTTTTCCTGCTTAAGTTGCCTGAGGGAGCGGGCTGAAAACTTTGGAGTTAAATGACTAGATTTTCAGTAGTGATGAGATAAAGTAAAAAGAAAAAAAGTTTATCACAGGAGCTCCTATCTTGATGTTCTCTCTGATTCTTGAAAATGCTTGCATCATTGTGGAACTAGAGGAAGCTTATTTGTTTAGTTGTGCACATGAAGGAAGGAGGTTATTAAATATGAAGTGTGTAATATGAGCTTTCAAACAGCCCAGCATCTGAATATTGCTTCTTCCCTCCCTACTACACTATTTGAGAGAAGTCTCTTATGCTCGCCAAGCCTGCATTTATTTGATCAAAAATGCAGTAAAAAATTACTTTTGTGAAAGATTATTGCAATTTAAAAGAACTGTTTTAATTTTTTATATATTTTAAAATGTAATGTACTTGCATGATGGAAAAGCTGAATTTTTTAGCTATTACTCCAGTCTTCAACATCAAATTACTTATTAGAAATCAGTCTAATTTAGTGCATTTGTTTCAGGATTCTTTGATGAAAATAAGGTTAAAAGAAGCACATTTATTTGAAATAATTTTTTGTAACATTATAAACAATTACTGACCTCAAACGTTTGAACTATGTCCAAATATGCAGCATTTCTAAAATGATAGGCAAAAAAAAAAAAAATCTAATTCACCAAATTTAAAATTTTCTGTGGACCATGAATCACTGAAGGTTTCATTTTAAATCTCTTTTACCCCAAAGTAGGTATATAGGAAATGTTTCTATAAGGGGTATTTTGGGCATTTCATTAGTTTCAGGATTTAATGCAGGAAAACAATTTTTGACATACTCTA